ATAAATGACTCTAGTAAAACTGAGCACGACGAGCGGATTGACATTTATGCAAACTCTGATATGAAACCTGTGATGAGCTTAGGATTAGAAGATGATGAGTTTTTTGAAATGGTCGAAAAAATGCAAGCAGTTTTGGAGACTTTTGCATCTTATGGAAGCGGTTGGGTTTTGCAACATGTAATTCAAGTTTTTGTTAAACTTGCAAAGTTTTCACCAATCCGTGGGTCATCTTATATTGACTTGCCTTTTCGAATTCGAATGTCCCAGAATTTGATAAACATTAGAAATCACGAAGATAATAATTGCTTCGAACTTTGCTTTACCGCTGCTTATAGTCTGAAGCATGGTGTTGACCTACTTCTAACTGATCAACAAAAAGCGAACCCAGCAGCTGCGCGGACACAACCTGATACATACACTGCAGAAAGTGCACACAAAGCCCAAGGTAATTTTGATTCACCCATGAGTTTCGCTTCAATTGGAAAATTTGAACAACTTAACGACGTGCGGGTAAATGTGTTCCAGTACCACAAGGGAGATTTGTTGCCTATGTATATATCAAAACGACCAAACCAAGATAACAGCACCCAAACTGAAATATTTGACATGGACCTGCTTCTCTTGTATGAGCCTGCAAAGCATCACTATGTACTTATAATCGATTTGTTAAAGTTCATCTGCGAAATCAAAGGGTGTAAGTATCGCCCAATTGCACGTTTATGTAGAAACTGCTTTCACATTAGTTGGAGTGATGAAACTCATGAGCAACACATCCAGTGTTGTAAGGATCATGAACCTGCTCTAGTAGTCATGCCTTCAGCAGAAAAAGGTACCAACAGATACGAGTTCAAAAACCTCCAGGCCTTGTGGTTTGTACCACTTGTGATTTATTTTGATTTTGAATCATTTCTGAAACCTGTAGATTCTTGTCCTGATAATCCATCGCGATCATCTACCCGAGTTGTACAAAAACACGAAGCTTGTGGGTATTCATTGGCTGTAATTGAGCACGGAAATTCACAGCCCTACTTCTTTGACTATGACAGCTCTGATCAATGCATGAAAAAGTTTCTCAATCAGTTGCATCAATTAGCGAGAGAGATATATGATCAAAAGCGACGGTTTCCTCAATTTCTAGAAAGCCAAGAATCGTTGAACAAAGAAAACACATCAACATGTTGGATTTGCTGTATACATTTTACCAATGAGCACGAAAAATGTCTTGACCATTGCCATTTTTCTGGAAAATTTTTGGGATGGGCACATGAAAAATGCAACCTCGCAAGACGAACTGTAAATTTCACCCCAGTCATTGGACATAACATCCAGAACTATGACCTTCACCACATTTGTCTCGCATTGCATGAATGCGAGCCAACAAGTACAATGAGTGTTATACCTAGCACCGACGAAAAATATATATCGTTAAGCATTGGAGTCCTAATTGAAACTATAAAAAGGAAAAACGGATCCGAGCAAAAAGTTTTTGAATACCTCAGATTTATTGACTCATGCAAGTTTTTGAATTCTTCCTTGCAAAAATTGGTTGATAATCTACCAGCGGAAAAAATGTCAGTTTTGAACAAGTATTTTGCAAACGAGACGGAGGAGCAACGGTGTCTGATACGACAAAAAGGTTTCTACCCTTATTCGTACATGACCAAAAGAGAAAAATTTGCAGAAAAAGAATTGCCTCCTTTGCAAAATTGGTCCGATGTTTTGAATGGAGGAAAAGTTGCAGTTTCACAAGCGGATCTGGAGCATGCAAGGAAAGTTTTTAGAATGTTCAAATGTCAAAACTTGGAGGATTATCACAACTTGTATCTCAAGTGTGATACACTCCTTCTTGCTTGCGTCTTTGAAGAATTTCGACAAATTAGTCACCAAACTTATGGTCTGGACTGCGCGCACCATTTTAGTGCTTCAAACTTAGCTGGAGACGCCTTCAAACGTATCTGCAAAGACTCGAATGTTCAGCTTTTATCAGACCGCAGGCATCTCGAAATGGTCGAGAATATGATGCGAGGTGGTACTGCATCCGTGTTCCATAGTCGCTTTTTCAAAGCCAACAACAAAGAATGCCCCGACTTCAACCCAGATCAACCTAGCACCTACGGGTTTATGATCGATGCAAATAACCTCTATGGCGGCGTCATGCAAACGGAGAAATTACCGGTGCGTAACTTTGAGTTAATAGAGCATATAGAAGACGAGGTGATTGTGAACCAAATCCTCAACATGACTGAAGACTCTTTGATTGGATTTATATTGGAAGTTGATCTCGAGTACCCAGAAGAACTGCATGAGGATCATCAAGATTACCCTTTAGCTCCTACTAAAGAAAGTGTACCCCAGGATTGGTTGAGTCCCTACCAAACGAATTTACTCGAGCAGATGAAAAATAAGACATTGCAAGACGTTCAATTGGAAAGACCAAAAAGTTACTGCAGACGCTGCATGACAAGTCAAACTATACAATTCATTACAAACTATTGCAATTGTTTGTTAGGTTGGGACTTAAAGTTAAAAAAGTGCACCGTGTGCTGAAGTTTGAACAAGAAGCATGGTTAGAACCATACATCACATTGAACACGACTAAACGACAACAAGCTAGAAATAAATTTGAGGAGGATTTGTACAAACTACTGAACAATTGTGCTTATGGGAAAACATGCGAGTCGAAGCGCAAACGGATGCTTGTTCGAATAGTTAGAGATTATCATGCCGCTTTGCGAGAAATTAGTGCATTCGAATTTAAATCCTACAAAATTTTTGGAGAAAACTTGGCAGCGTTCACTTCGAACCCAACAAAAATCTATTGGGATGTCCCAACAATTGTGGGAGCTAGTGTTCTTGAGTTAGCAAAGTTTCACATGTATAAATTTCATTACGATATAATGAAACCAAATTTTGAATGTCAACTACTGTATTCTGATACAGACAGTCTCCTGTACCAAGTCAAAAGTGAAGATTTATACCGAGAAATTTCCGAAAAAAGGAATATTTTGAATGAACTTGACTTGTCAAATTACCCGAAGAACCACCCTCTCTACGACCCAAAAAACAAAATGGTTGTTTTAAAATTCAAGGATGAGTTTCCAGGAGACATTATAACCGAGTTTATATCCCTCAAACCCAAGCTTTATTCCATTTTGTCCAGAGGTAATTAATTAATTTCTATTTGCCTTATTTGTGAGCACGAATTTCAAAAAATTTTGATTTTTTGTGGAATTTTTTTTGGAAAGCAATTTCTATTTGTGGGCGAAAAATTTTTTTTTTGTGGGCGAAATTTTTTTTTTTTTTGAGGGCGAAAAAAATTTTTTTTGTGGGCGATTTTTTTTTGTGGGCGAAATTTTTTTTTTTTTTTTTGTGGGCGATTTTTTTTTTGCGGACGATTTTTTTTTTGTGGACAATTTTTTTTTTTTGGAAGAAAAAATTTTTTTTTTGTTCGAAAAATTTTTCGGGCGAAAAAGTGTTTTTTTTTCTTTTTGCAAAAAAATTTTTTAATTTTTTTGGGGATTTTTTTTTTTTGTGTTGGTCGATTTTTTTAATGATGACTAATTTTTAAGGTCACACCTGGCCTTCATGTCATTTTTTTTTGTTGCACCTGACCTTCAAGTTAACATGATGTAGCTCCTAAAAAACACAAAACCACAGATTGCATTTGGTTCTTTTTTTACCACCACACATTAGTGATCATCAAAAAATTGATTAGAAATCATATAATTATATTTATAGATTGCAGAAAATTATCGGCGAAGGGTGTATCGAAAGCTGCTCAGAAGATGTTGAGCCATCAGCGATATCGAGACACCTTGACCTCTGGCTCGTTATTCAAAACTGAAAACAGTCGAATCGCATCCGAGTCACACAATCTGCAAACAGTGACTTCGACGAAAACATCGTTATCAGCTTTTGATGACAAACGCTACATCCTCGATGATGGTCAGCAGACTCTTCCCTACGGTCACAAAAACATCTTGGGTCAAACTGTGATTGGCATTGATGATAGTGATGACAACACAGCCGCTGTTAATTCTGACCCAACCGATGATGACGATTTGGAAAAATGGATGCCATTTTTTGAAGATCGTCAACAGCCAGTGTCGTGGGATTGTGACGATTTCCTAGATGGGGTGTCTGAAGAATTCGCTAACACTCAAAACATTAATTGGGACCATCCGGAAATTGATGATGAATACTCTGAGGATAGTTTTGCTGTTGAGAACACACAACCACATCGCTCGCTTCGACAACTGATGGACCATGTCAATAGCAGTTGGCAAACTCCAGACCCCGGTCTGATTCGGGCAGCAGAAACCAACGACAGTGATATTGATAGCGGGGATATCGCGGATCTGGAGGCCAATACTTCCGATGAGGACGAGTCGTCATTCTTCAACGATTCGTTTTTCGATTATGAAGCAGTTGAAGTAGAAGAACCACGGTCAAAAAATCGACGAATAGATTAAAACACAAAAAACACCACATTAACTTTTGTATAGTAAATAAAATTCAGTTATTTAATATGAGAATTGTCTGTACATAAAATTTGACCTACCGTTTATTCCGCGTTTAGTGTGTATTTAAGTGCGAGATTTTGTTCAGCTTTGGAACTCAGTTAATCTGGGATATAAACATTTTCATTTAAGCGATAGTGTCTTAAGCATACTTTTGTATGTATTTGTATGTAATTTGAGTTTGAATCAAAGTTTTAAGAAGAATTGAGCAAACAGTCTATAGCGCAGTTAAACACTCCGGCTGGTTTCAGAACAAAGATTTGGCAAATCCTTTCCCGCTCCAAACATGTAACCTTAACGTTCAGTGGGAATACTCAATAATATACCGAAGTTTTACATGAGGACTATTGGGTATAAAATTATATGTGGTGACAATTAGGATTATTACATGGTGACCATTGCTGATCATTTAATACATGGTGACCATTATGATTTATACCTAATGGTCATCCATGTATGACAACCCCCCCCCCCCCGATCCTAACGCACTATATGCATACTACTTCCATGTGTGAATGAGTGAGATGATGACTTGCCTATTAGGTTGAAGCTCCTGCTGAGTGTGTTCTCAGAGTTGGGGAGGGAGAGGGAGCAGGTGTAGCATCCCTCCTTGTCAGAGTCGAAGTTCTTGATGGTGAGGGAGAACACTGTCACAGTCTTCTGCCCCGCCCCCACTCCTCCCTCGCCCATTCTGCTGGTGGGGACCAACTCAGTGTCCTCATCCGGTACCACTTTCTCCTCACGCACCCCCTCTTTTCTCTTCATGTCACACTGAGCCCCACCACTCACTCCATCCCCATCATCCTCCCCACCCATCCCTGTCTGCGGTGACTCCACCAGAGTTCTCTTCCACTGGAACAAGGCTGTCTCGGGCTCCACAGGGGGGTTTGCCTCGAAGGCACAACTGATGGTAGTGGAGCCAGTCAATTCCACTGCCACAGGGTCCCTGTTGTCTGTCGATTCTGCTTCCAGGAATCGAGCCGCAAACTTAACCCCCAGAGTTTTCTGCTCGGAGGGGAACTCTCTAATTTGGGGGTAGTCGAACAGACACCGGAATTGGGCTCCATTCAAAGCCTCCTTCACACTGAAAGTGAACTCTGTCGCCCCATCTTCTGGCTGAGGAACAGTGGACGGCACTTGCCTGGAAAAAAGGAACTAGAAGAGACCTAGAAGATAAGAAAGTATCCCTGTACAATATCCCTATAATATTTGTACAATATCCCTATCGCGAAAGAGTAAAATTTTGAGTGAACAAAACCGTGCTATTATTCTTGCTAGACGAGTGCTCTCACCATTTGACAGTGGGCACAATTTTGTCCCCCAGCCGTGTCTCTTCCGAGGGGGGAGTGCAGGTGAGAGTGACTTGTGATCCAACTTCTGCTGCTTCCAAGGGCATGCCGGATAGAATTGGCTGGAAGTTAGCGGGAAGCACCAGCACTCCAAACGCTTTCTCCGCGCTAGACTTGTAAGGACTTCCATGGAACAGTTCGCAGCAGTAGAAACCACTGGAATCTTTCGAAACCTTGTCCACCACCAGAGCACTACTGGACCCAGAGCCAACCCTGTACAACTTATCGTTCTGTTGGCTGCCTGGGATGAAGATGGGTTCAAATATGACTCCCTCAGAGTCTGAACTGCGCATCCACTTGAAGTTGTCATCAAAAGAGTTGGAAGTGTCGCAAGGAAGAGTGACTGACCCCTCCTTCTCCCCCGCCACCGCCAGCCTCGCCTCCAAACTGGCCCCCGCTACTAGTTCGTGACACTGCTTCGTATCTGAAACAATCTACAGCTAGATCAACTGAAGCCGTGTAAAACTGTTGAATAAATACTCTAAGTGGAAAACAAGAGGCTTAGTCTGCAGACAATTGGATATCAACAAACACACAAAAAAAATGCTTGCTTCACTATGAAGTTCAAAACAAAAAGTCTCCTCATTAAAACTTCAAGGTTTTGCAGGTCGCCACACTTTCAATAAAAACGTATCTGAGATAAACGGCCGAGTTTGAGGCCAATTGGTCAATGAATTTCTTTTTTTTACTGGTAACGTTTTGTATTTTGTTATTGAAGGCTAGGATTCACCCTGTAAAGTAGCAAATGACATAGAATGTGAGCATAACAAAGCAAAAATCAAAACGCTAAATTACAAATCCTAGTGTGAGCAAACTTTGAGACTTTTTCCTCAAAACAAAAAACCACGTTACCTGAATCAGTAGAAAAATTGATCTCTTCAATAACCCGTAAAAAGCAAAACTACCAAAGTCGACAGGTATTAAATGGATACGGGAATCGGAAAATACTGCTGATTTAAATCAACAATTTCAACTTTTGATTTTCAAAAACAAGACTACAAAAATTAAAAAGCTTTTGAGTTTCGAATACTGTTTAATTGATGAAATTACACGCGTTGTTTAAGCAAGCCAAATTTCAAATTATTGTAAGCCAATGGTAACCAAAATACAATTTATTGTAAGCCAATGGTAGCCAAAATACAATTTATTGTAAGCCAATGGTAGCCGAGTTACAATTTATTGTAAGCCATTGGTAGCCAAAATACAATTCATTGTAAGCCAATGGCAGCCAAATTACGATTTATTATGAGCCCATGGTAGCCAAATTACAATTTATTGTAAGCCAATGGTAGCAAAGTTACAAATATTGTAAGCCATTGGTAGCCAATTTGCAATTTATTGCAAGCCAATGGCGGCAAAGTTACGATTTATTGTAAGCCAGTGGTATCCAAAATACAATTTAATGTAAGCCAATGGTAGACAAAATACAATTTATTGTAAGCCAATGGTAGCCAAAATACAATTTATTGTAAGCCAATGGTAGCCAAATTACTATTTATTATGAGACCATGGTAGCCAAAATACAATTTATTGTAAGCCAATGGTAGCCAAGTTACAATTTATTGTAAGCCATTGGTAGCCAAAATACAATTCATTGTAAGCCAATGGCAGCCAAACTACGATTTATTATGAGCCCATGGTAGCCAAATTACAATTTATTGTAAGCCAATGGTAACAAAGTTACAATTTATTGCAAGCCATTGGTAGCCAAGTTACAATTTATTGTAAGCCAATGGCGGCAAAGTTACGATTTATTGTAAGCCAGTGGTAGCCAAAATACAATTTATTGTAAGCCAATCTTAGCCAAAATACAATTTATTGTAAGCCAATGTAGCCAAGTTACAATTTATTGTGAGCCATTGGTAGCCAAAATACAATTCATTGTAAGCTAATGGTAACCAAAATACAATTTATTGTAAGCCAATGGTAGCCAAGTTACAATTTATTGTAAGCCATTGGTAGCCAAAATACAATTCATTGTAAGCCAATGGCAGCCAAATTACGGTTTATTATGAGCCCATGGTAGCCAAATTACAATTTATTGTAAGCCAATGGTACCAAAATTACAATTTATTGTAAGCCATTGGTAGCCAAGTTACAATTTATTGTAAGCCAATGGCGGCAAAGTTACGATTTATTGTAAGCCAGTGGTAGCCAAAACACAATTTATTGTAAGCCAATGGTAGACAAAATACAATTTATTGTAAGCCAATGGTAGCTAAGATATAATTTATTGTCAGCCAATGATAGCCAAATTACGATTTATTATGAGCCCATGGTAGCCAAATTACAATTTATTGTAAGCCAATGGTTGCAAAATTACAATTTATTGTAAGCCATTGGTAGCCAAAAAACAATTTACTGTAAGCTGATGGTAGCCAAGTTACGATTTATTGTAAGCCAATGGTAGCCAAATTACAATTTATTGTCAGCCAATGGCAGCCAAATTACAATTTATTGTAAGCCAATGGTAGCCAAAATACAATTTATTGTAAGCCAATGTTAGCCAAAATACAATTTTTTGTAAGCCAATGGTAGCCAAATTACGATTTATTGTAAGCCAAGGGTAGCCAAATTACCATTTATTGTGAGCCAATGGTGGCCAAATTACAATTTTTTGTTCCGACTTTCAAAATCATCATATTTATGCTTGGGGTGAACCTTTTATTTGGGCAAAGTTTTCCAATCAGGCTATCAGTTCTCATTCAAAAACATCATACCCCGCGTTGGAGATATTAACTTCCTAAATTTTACCTTCAATCATATTACTTAAGTTTTACCTTCATATTTTACCTTCAATCACTTTTGTTTAGCCTTGTGGGTTTAAAAATTGCCAACTTGACTATGCGATTGACTAGAAATTGCGCGCTGTGAAAATTTCATTTATGACGCTGACCCGCACGGAGGTTCTATAGATATTAACGTTAGAATCGATTTTCGTAACCAAAACAATTGCTATTATACTCGACTAAAATTACATTCAGGGACCACTCAATCGATTATAATCCATTGTATTGAAATATTCTCAAATGAGTCACATCAATTATAACTCATTTAAAAGCCATCGTAACGGATTTTAGGGAACTATAGCCTGTTTAATTTTTTACCAAGTTATCTGCAAATTGTGCAGTTTTTTAGCTTTACTCAAAGCTTACTCCATTTCTAAAGCTACTAACCCCCAACTAATGAGGGGGCGAAGGACTTACCGGCACTCAGTAAAAAGAGAAAATGATCGATTATATTATAATTACAATTATACTTTTATCAAAATTTTAATTAATCATGAGCACCAAATTTAGATAATTAAACGATTTATAATCCATTATAATTGTAAATTACAATTAATTTTATTTGATTATAATTTTTCCGAAAGTTTATCATAATCTTTTATAATAGATTAAAATCTTTTTCTCTGTCAAAATAGCTAAAAAAGAGATGTCTTGTCACTTTTTGGTTCATCTGAACACAAAGTTTTATAGAGATCCCTTCATATTAGATGAAAGTTTCCCGCAGTAGGTGAAATATAACTCTTCCAAATAAATTATGAAACTAAAGCAGTGTGCTGATAATTTGGTGTTCAAAGACTTTTAAAGTGTGCATCAAGAAATCACAATCAAAAAGAAATAAAAAACAAAAACTCTATGAGTTTGAATTGATATGAAAACGGTTAAAACAATTTTCTCAATTTTTACATAAACCAACGTCTACGAAAAGCATAAAAAAGATATAAACAGTTCAGGTCCAAGGTTGAAGACAAAATAGCAATCAAAAGGGATTATAAACTATTATAAGTGATTAAAATCGATTTTTTTAGCAAAACAAGTGAGTTAGAAATTTGGATAAAAATAATTAATTATGATCAATTATAACGTTTTATAACTGACAAAACTTTATTTCAAAAGAGAGAACACAAATGTTGTGGGTGCAAATCCATCTATGTTGGCCAGACGGTCCGACATCTCACCACAAGGATTGAGGAACACCGAAAAGAGGATACCCCAGTTGGACAGCATATACGGCAGTGTGGTGTGAGAGTGATAAGTCTGAGCTTAATTGGAAAATTATCGACCAGGCGTCCAGCAGCATCAAGTTACTTACATTAGAGGCGCTGCACATTAGGAAAAAGAGACCGGCAATTAACACGCGCGACGAGTTTAGAAGTAAGGAGCTGACACTAAAGCTATAGTTCCAGAATTGAAAAATTCTGGCTAAAACATCAAAATTTTGAAACAACTTACATGTTAGCTTACATGTTAACTTACATTCAGTGATATTTGTAAAGTTTTGATAGGTTGAATTTTTAAAATTTTGAAGTAATGATGTGTGTGACACTTTTTATGATCTTTGATCATTTTGTACAGATAGTTTAGAATTTTTAAAACCTGAAAATGCACAAAATGTGCGAAAACGTTTGTTTGAATTTACAATTTTAACGCATTCTCAAAAGAGAGATTATAATCGATTATTAATTGATTAGAATCAATTTTTTCTCAATTTAAGGAAGACTGGTACTGAAATCAAGGTTCAAGTTCTGAAGATACACAAAAAAATACCGAAACATATCAGAATTTAATCGATAATTACCGCTTGAAACTGGATGCGGGTTGATGTGCATGGGGCGTCATTGTGTGCCGAGGGAGGGATAATAATACGTAAGAGGGTAAGTGTATGGAGGGAGTAATAGAAGGTGGCACGGCAGGGACTGACATACGATTTTTTCTCAGGGAGAGGTGGATGTTCACCATAAAATGTTAAAGTTTTTCGATCATTTCTAATTCAACTAAATTGTGTTTCTGAGCTCCTCTAACTCACAATGACAAATACTTTTTTTACTAAATTCTAGGTGGGAGTAGAAAACAAGTAGAAAGGTATTACAATGATTTTTTGCTGCGGCTAGATATAAACCTCAATTTAACGGCTGCTACTTGAAATGTGTTGAAGTTAATGGTTGCAATGTTCAAGTTCTGAAAATATACAGAAATGCTTGAAAAGACCCAAGCATTTGCCTTGAAACTTTATAAACTATTAGCAGCCAACGGACAGTTGGAACAGAGTCAATGAACACAAGTCAGCTGAAAAAAAACCTGACCTGTTTCTTTTGTCTCAACTTTTGAACTTCCAAGCAAAAATGAAATAGCCTTATAAAATTTCGATTTTTAGGCAATTTATGATTGACATTTTTTTTTGATAAAAGTCACACAATTTGAGAAATAAATAAATAAATTAGGAACCTTACGTTACTGGAGTTCGTTTTGTTGAGTAATCTGATAGTTAATTTTAATTTTCAAAATTAGAGGTTGACCACGTTTTCTGTTTTATTTTAAATGTTGAAAAAAATTGAGAAACATTAGAAAAAGAGTTGTTAGAATATCATAGCTTTTTGAAAGAACCAATAGATGCTAAGAAGCGAAGTGTGAGAGTTGA